GAGGGGAGGTTGTGGGTAGGCGTAGCTAGTTCAGGAGACGTGAAAGTAATTCAGTACATTAAATAAACACAGATCTGTGACTGAAACAGTTCGGTTTCTACATTCCAAGTATTTGTATAAGTACATGTGTCGATTGGTTAATGGATTGATTGTATGTAACAGTCAGTTCCTGTATTGATGGAGTGTACTTATTACATTTTCAGCGATGACATGTTCTGAAGTTTACTGGTGGGGAACTTTTATAAGCAAATTCATTTATTAAAATCTTCAAACCATAATATGATGTTGGTCTTTTTTGTAAAACGGTAACGTTTCTATATACCCTTTATACAACAATGTCTCACATAAAAGGAAGAGGTCCATGGGCCAATTGCTCACCAAAGTTCTGCAGCCTATATATTCCTATGTAAAACTTGGCTCGTCCATTGTCGCCCGCTCTACCCCAGGGGGTCATGATTTGAACAAACATGAATCTACATTAGCTGAGAATGCTTTCATATAAACATGACTAATCATGCCTTTGCTGTTCTTCATCAGATGAATTTAAAAGATGTTTCCTATATATTCCTAGGTAAAACTTTGATCATCCCTTGTGGCCGCGCTGTAACCCCGGGGTCGTGATTTGAACAAAATTGTCTCTACGCCGTCTACATGAGGATTTTTTACTCCTAAATTTCATCTTTCCTGGCGCAGTGGTTCTTGAGAAGATGTTTTAAACATGCCATCAAATTTTCCTATTTCTGAACAAAGTTGAATTTTCTTCACCCAAGGTGCCTTTTTGGCATGTTTGGTTGAAATTGTCCAAGTGGTTCTGGAGTAGAAGTCGAAAATGTCCACACAGACAGACAGATGGACTACACTCAAAATATGATCAATAAGCTCACTTGAACTTTCAGCTCAGGTGAGATAAAAATAAATTAAAATCTAGACTTTTTGATATTGTACAAAGCTGATTTTTCAATATTAACGGAACTCGGAATTTTTCACATCTTTTGATTGCTCAGCAGCCAAATTACTTCGTTAAATCCACTCTGATTGTACACACAAGTACCTTGAATTTGATATAAGGACGATGGAGCTCCTCATCGACATTTTTGTAGTCTTTCGATAGCAAGTTTTTCTAACAAACCTTTCGGAATTGATGGACACTAATTGTGCTCCCGTCTTAGCTGACCCGTTTTTAATATTTCCTTATAGGAATCAGAGTCTGTTCAACAAGAGGCCCATGGACCACATATTGGCCATAACACTTTTAAAGTAAAATGATTCTATTGAAATCATATTAAACTTGTATAAAAGTAGGAAAGTCTTCTAAACAAGAGATGTTTGTAAAACACTTATGCCCCCCTCCCCCAGATTGGAATTTTTCCAAGTCCAGGGGGCATAACTCGTCAAAAATGGCGCGATCATACTTAAAACAGAACTTGACCTAGATATTCATTTGATAAATCTGTATACCAAATTTCATTTCAGTATGTGCAAACTCTGCGAAGAAAATGCAAATAATTGGAATTTTCTAAGTCCAGGGGGCATAACTCTGTCAAAAATGGCGCAATCATACCCAAAACAAAACTTAATTGTCCTAGATATTTATCTGATAAATCTGTATTTCATTACTTGCAAGGGTTGTGAACAAAACTAGAGGTACTGTGAGCGATGAGCTCACTAAATGATACCCTCCGCCTCCATATAGTTATAATTGCAAAGTCCATGTTTTGCTGTGGCCGGGAAACCCAAAATATGTGTCGGATCAAAAAGTAAAATAGGAGGTGCACAATGGCAATATGTAAATATACCCTCCCGCTTTTCAAGCGGGGGGTATAATAAAGATTCTGTGAAAGTTTCATCAAATTTCATTCAGTGGTATGAGAGGAGTTGCGGATAACAGATGGGTACCCCAAAGCGTAACAGACGGACGGACAGACGTACAGACGGACGGAATTAACGATTACTATATACCCTCCCGCTTTTCAGGCGGGGGGTATAATAAACCGAAACTAAGTGGACTGACAGACAGCAGCAAAGCAATATGCCCTCCCCTCTTCCAAGAGGGGCATAAAAAATCTAAAGCAATCATGTGACCTAGCATTTCAAAGAGCTCTCCATACCTAGTTAAAGAGGAGGTACAAAAGGAGTAAAGTCACATTTTATTGCAGGTTTTACAATATGGAACCATAAAATCAACTTATGATACATTAGATCTGGTATGACGTCTACTCACCCTTTTGCCACTGAGCGAAAAACTTCAGCAATGCTTGCGTATTTGATAAATCTGACAGAAGGATACTTTTCATGGACAAAAATTACTTTATTCAAAATATGTATACAATATAAGCAACAATACACATGTAAAAATTGCCATATTAATGCTTAAAAGCATATGACCAGCAAATAAAAAATGCAAAAGCTAAGCAGTTTTAGTCTCTACATGTATGTCTTTGTATCATATTGGGACTTAAAAAAAACTGTAAATCTCTTTTGATGTCAAAAGAAATTGACTTAAGGATACACCAAAGGTTTCCAAAGGGCAAAATTTAATTTGCTTGTAATTCTTTCATTAACAAAGATAACATATTAAAAGTATAAATCATTTGAAAGCTTCTTATTTTACTATTTCATGATCTTAATTTAAATTTTCATTTTCATCGTATTTAAAAGTTATTAATATTTTAATGTAAATATTAGTGCATTCATATTTTATAAATCAACTTTTTTGTATTCCACCTCTCAAAGTCAAAATTTTGCCTCAATGTAGATAAAAGATTGAACTTTAAAACTGTATCTCAGATTTTTGATAAATCTTTTTATTCAAAAGTTACATCCATTTGTCTTTCAATGTTACCAATTTATTAGCCCAATTCTACATTTCCCCCAATAATTCGAGAACTGAGCAAGATATCAAAAATCTGAGATACGGTTTTGTGAACAAACATTTTAGACACAATCTAGCCAGTTTTCAGAGAAATTGGTCAATAAATAAGGGAGCTGAATCCTTTGAAATAATACCACCAACTGTCTGATCTTACTTTACAGTAGAGGGCAAAAACCCATTACACAACAAAGTCTGCCAAAGCTAGAAATATATGACACCTTGGAGATTCAGCTTTGGATACCTGTCACTTATCCATATTTCCTATGCATATTCACAAGAATGGGAGGTTCTATTCTTTATTTAGGTGCTTTTAATGAAGTAAAATAGGTTCAATTCTGAGTCAGAAAGATTTCCCGGCAAAATGGCAAGAGCTAAGCTCCACCTCCTATTTCATGGTCATTAGTGACCTGTTACATCTCCTTCCCTAAATCTAGAGTCCCTGTAGTTTAATTACTGATAACTTCTGTGTGGCTAGTGAAGAATTCCCCAAGTGGTCACAGTGATTTATTGCTCCTTTCAGTAGCAGGCAGTTACAGACCAAATCAGAAGCTTCAATAACGGCACATTCACATGTGTTAGTGTTTATGTTTGATTATTGTTAAATAATTAGAAAACCATTCAATAATCAACAAGAATTTTTCATGCATTATAAAGCAGTGATTAGCATTGTTTTCTTAGCCAAAAATCTCAAAATTGACAAAAATCTTGAAAAAAGCCTTTGGTGTATCCTTAATATTGCGTATGTAAATTTTTAAAGCTTTTTATGTTAATCCAGTAAAAATTCAAGAAAAAAATTGTACACACCAGTTTCATCTAAAGACCAAATACCATTATAATGCAACAATGTACATGTACAACCCTTTTTACACTAAAGTAATTGTATGTATTTCTTAAATACTTACATTTGCTTTTTATGTTTTTATAAATATGTAATAAATAAATCAAAAAAATCTTTTTTCGACAATAAAATTCGATTTCGATTGTGTGTGCATGATAATAGAATTCAGAAATAGGGCGATAAATCAAATGAATTTTACACAATAAATCTGGCATAAAAAGTGTATCAATACAGATTAATAAAGAGACATATAATTGATTTTTTTTTAAAAAGGTATAAAAATAATTTAAATATGAACAAATTGAATAATAAAATATTATTGAAAAACATGTATATAATGCAAGCAAAGTAAGATCTATTTCAGCTCAACATTTGTCTGTTGTAGATTGATAGGAAACATTATCTACAAGTAAGTTAAAAACCATCGTCAAGGCACAAAAAAAATTCTCTTTTTCCACCTAGAAAAAAAAAAGATCATTTTTGTGTCAACAAATCAGTAGAAAAGCATTATGGTTTTTATGAAACAAATTGAAACTCTTCAGCAAGCACTTTGAAACAGAGAGAAAATAAATTGTACATGTATACTTTTGATTTAGAAGTAAAATAGTACAAAAAATGTATCGGTACTGTCACTCAAAAGAAATCAAAAACTTTTTTTGTAGCACACACATCAATGTGATTAGCACATATTTTCAATGCCTACAGGTCTATTAATATCAGGAAATGCAGTACTGAATGAGCATACAAGTTTCACAAAAATTTAAAAATATGGCACCATGCATGCAAAAGAGTCTGATATGAAAACAATAAATAATAATGACTACAAAAACATTTATATGCACCAAATATTAGGGGGTTTGCCAATGTATAAACTAGAATGTCATGCATGTATTTGTACATGTATACTACAAAATTGCACATAAAATGAGTAAAAAATAAAGGTATAATATTCACTTCACCTCTGCTTCTCTCAGATATTGGTATAAATGGACAATGGTTCCTCAGAAAATTTGGCACTCAAAACTTGCAAATGGAGACATTCTACCAGAATACATCATACAAATACATTTGTATCACATCTGATGACTACTTAATGGGTCGTCTTAGAATAATATTTTGATATGGTTTTGATTAGTCCAAAGTGATGGTCCCTCATATGCATGTAAGTGTTATACAATACACCAAAAAACATTACGTATGTATTTTAAAAATACACAAAAACGAATTTAATAGGACAAACACTATGTTGAACATGTTTTCTGATTTAAGGAAAAACAAGATGAATTCTGATTCAACCTGGGTTTGTTTATATTATTGATATAAAGTACAAAAGTATCTTCTAAAAACAGACCTCCAAAATCTTTTCAAGATTTGTTTTGTCAAAGCAAGCTAAAAAGAAGCAAATCTTAAAATAACAGATTGTTATAAGCCTTCCACTTCACAGTGTTTTTTTTTTAACATTAGGTCTATTCAAATTGGTTGTAGAAGGTCCTAAACATGAATGTGTGACTTCTCGTTGACGTAGCCAGACAAAATATCATCTCCACCAACTGAACACTTGGATCCCTGTCCTAAACCAGCCTCACATCAACATATCACCCCAATGTCTTCAGCCCATCACCCCCAGGTACTCCTGTGACCCCCCGGGTTCTATTTTGGTCTGTAATGGTTGGGACGCATCACTGGACTCCTCAGCCGACGTAAATTGTTTGATTTCCTCGCCGATCTCCGGGAATGTGGGTCGATCTGAAGGAACGTCCGTCCAGCACTTCAACATCAGCAGATAACTACAACGACAAACATATCAAAAGTCACAAAAAGTTGATCATCTTGAAGTGATCAGAGATTAAAACAACTTCTGGACTCTGAGGGTTTCAAGCTGATAAGCTTATATGACTGGCGACTTGCACAGCCTCTAGTTATTGCTGGGGCTTAAAACTGATAATCTTACAGAGATTGAAGACTTATACAGTCTCTGGACACTACCAATTTAGAATTGATGAGATTTCTGTGACTGGAGACTTCGGAGGCGTCTGATACTGCTGTGATTTATTCTGATAAAGTTTATGTGATGGGAGACATACATTGTCTCTGATACTTCTGGGATGTAGTATTGATAATCTTTACGTTACTGTAGACTTTGAGGGCCTCTGGACATTACCAGAGTTTAGTATTGATAATTTTTACATTACTTACACAGCCTCTGGAGATTGCCAAAGTTAAGTATTGATAATCTTTAGGTTAATGTAGACTAACACAGCCTCTGGACTCTGTGGGGTTTCTTTAACCAATGTCCTCCACTTAAATACTTACACAGCCTCAGGACACTGTCGGGGTTTCTTTAACTGATGTCCCCCAGTTAAATACTTACGGGGCCTCTGGACACTGTCGGGGTTTCTTCAACCGATGTCCCCCAGTTAAATACTTACACAGCCTCTGGACACTGTCGGGGTTTCTTCAACCAATGTCCCCCAGTTAAATACTTACACGGCCTCTGGACACTGTCGGGGTTTCTTTAACTGATGTCCCCCAGTTAAATACTTACGGGGCCTCTGGACACTGTCGGGGTTTCTTCAACCGATGTCCCCCAGTTAAATACTTACACGGCCTCTGGACACTGTCGGGGTTTCTTTAACTGATGTCCCCCAGTTAAATACTTACGGGGCCTCTGGACACTGTCGGGGTTTCTTCAACCGATGTCCTCCATTTAAATACTTACACGGCCTCTGGACACTGTCGGGGTTTCTTCAACCAATGTCCCCCAGTTAAATACTTACACGGCCTCTGGACACTGTCGGGGTTTCTTTAACTGATGTCCCCCAGTTAAATACTTACGGGGCCTCTGGACACTGTCGGGGTTTCTTCAACCGATGTCCCCCAGTTAAATACTTACACGGCCTCTGGACACTGTCGGGGTTTCTTTAACTGATGTCCCCCAGTTAAATACTTACGGGGCCTCTGGACACTGTCGGGGTTTCTTCAACCGATGTCCCCCAGTTAAATACTTACACGGCCTCTGGACACTGTCGGGGTTTCTTCAACCGATGTCCCCCAGTTAAATACTTACACGGCCTCTGGACACTGTCGGGGTTTCTTCAACCGATGTCCCCCAGTTAAATACTTACACGGCCTCTGGACACTGTCGGGGTTTCTTCAACCGATGTCCTCCATTTAAATACTTACACGGCCTCAGGACACTGTCGGGGTTTCTTTACCCGATGTCCTCCAGTTAAATACTTACACGGCCTCTGGACACTGTCGGGGTTTCTTTACCCGATGTCCTCCAGTTAAATACTTACACGGCCTCTGGACACTGTCGGGGCTTCTTTACCCGATGTCCTCCACTTAAATACTTACACGGCCTCCTGACATTGTCGGGGTTTCTTTAACTGATGTCCCCCAGTTAAATACTTACACGGCCTCTGGACACTGTCGGGGTTTCTTTACCCGATGTCCTCCACTTAAATACTTACACGGCCTCCTGACATTGTCGGGGTTTCTTTAACTGATGTCCTCCATTTAAATACTTACACGGCCTCTGGACACTGTCGGGGCTTCTTTAACCCATGTCCTCCAGTTAAATACTTACACAGCCTCTGGACACTGTCGGGGCTTCTTTAACCGATGTCCTCCAGTTAAATACTTCTTAAGGTTGTTTGTCTCTACATCAGGATAAGGAGTTACTCCCCTGGTCATCAACTCCCACAGAACAATGCCATAAGACCACTGTTAACCAAAAACAAAAATATGTGAAAATGTGAATGGTTAAAGAATGCTGTACATATATTTCATGACAATAGTTTGCTTTTAATTGAAAGTTAGAAATCATAAGTATAGTAAAACATTCTTATAAAAGTACCAGAAACAGATGATTTATTTGTAATAAGCATAATTTGTTATATCAATTAAGCTAATTAAACAATTTTAAATGCATGGTGAATGAAAATTATTTCATTGTAAGCATCAATTCATTATGAGCATGTTCACTACAAGGGGATTTTACTGTTTTGTCATAAAAAGTGAAGTTTCTTATTCAATGCCTAAATGAATTTCTTCTGTTTCAGAAGATTGATGGCTTCATTTACATCAAAATCTTGACCACTGATAAATTCTACAATGTACACCTACTATAAATTATACTTACACAATCTGTTTTATGACTGAAGGCTGGAGTGGTTCCTTTGTCCATGTCTAAGATTTCTGGTGCCCACCATTTTGTGATAGAGACATTGTCATTGGAGAGATAGAACTCTCCTGGATACAATGGAGCTATGGAATAGTCAGATAATTTCACTACTTTCTCATCTGTCATCCTGGAATGCAAGGTAATATGTGAATTAATCAATTGTTTTCAATTAATTACAAAGATAACTTAATCTGAAGCATAAAGATTTCACAATCATGGTTCTTATGCCATCATCTCTACCAATACAATGTACCTTTAAAATTCCATTAAAAACTCGCTAGCAAACAAATACAGCAACACATCTACTCCTACATACAATTAACTTACAGGCAGTTACGAGCCGCAAGATTCCCGTGTATGATATGGACTTCCTCTAGATAGGACATAGCCTCACACACCTGATGGGCTAGCTCTAATAACTCTACTAATGTCAGATTCTGAAACATAGAATACCAGAATTTAAATGAGAAGACTGCATTATACACCTAGTTGAAACACAATATCATTTAATATGAAAATTTGAATACTTTGACACATCCTTCCCAGATACCAATATGATATATTCATTAAATTGATAAGATATCATCCATTGTTGTATGTGTTTTTGATATCTCTCCATATCCAGTCCTTTTGAAATAATTGAAAACTTGCCAAAGAAAGAACCCCCTTAAATGT